TCAAAAAAAAAAAAAAAATTGAAATTAGAGAATCGGACAACAACAACGATAACAAGAGTTGACGTGACCAGTGCAATGGTGATAAGACATAGGAAATACCGCAGGAATTCAATACCGTGTTGCAACTCGGTTAAACGACATGTTGAACAGGCTGTGGTTATTGTGCAGTGAGCTGCCTGAAAATTCGGAGGTCTTGAGATGCAAATGAACGTTGTTGAATAATAATCCAGCATCTAATCCTGAATGATCCCAGGAGCCTATGAGAAATCTATCCTCAGTGAAAGGCGAACGCAGCAGCCTGGGATCCTTAGAATGAATTCCCTGTAGCCTGGACGCAAGGCAGTGATGTTTCAGCAGGCTGAACTAATCACTCCTACCAAGTAAGTTCGGGCTTCGGTCGTAGGATGGAGAAAAACGTGGAATGCAAGATTGACCATGATCCGAACACTCGCAGGAGCTCTCCGTATGCTGTCAGCAGCTCTTGTGAGGGCTTTTTTTTTTATTAATTTCTATTTCCATTTTCATTTTCGCCTCAAGGGCAACTACCCTGGTGCCTGGGATCGGAAACCTCGTGTCAATCGGGGTTTTCCTTTCGGCTGGGTCTGTAAGTGGGTAGATTTCGGCATGAAGCGAGAACTGAATATCTTGACCTACCACAGAAGGCTTTTCCTTAGAGACAAGATCTTCGGACTTTTTTTTTTTTTTCTCTTTGTATGGATGGCTGCCATCCGTGTTAGATATTCGCTTGTGTCGAAGAATAGATGGTCTGTTGGCTCGACTCCTCGGGCCTAGCTCCGCCCCTCCTTCAAGATGAAACTCGATATTCTGACGGGTAAGCTTGATTTGTTTCAGCTGCAGAGCAACATCATGTCATGTTATCGACATCATATGTGATCATTCCAGCAGCGCTGGTGTCTCCAGACACAGAACCAGCGTTTCTATCAGGCTAGATATAGTGTCTTCACGAACAGCTAGCAACGGCTACCTATCATCTGGCTGGGTTAATGTGCTGCAGACCTTCGTAAAGGACTGCGCTTCCTCTTCGACCCTACTCAGTGCTGCTGATAATGATGATGATGATGATGATGATGGTGCCTCGCTGTCAACCAAAGGCTGGCGCTGTCTTGTGGATGGCTTGTTTCCTGCCTCTGCCTGTCAGCCTTATTGCACCCAGTCGCCCGGGAGAAAAGCAAGAGAAAAGCAAAAAGAGCAGTTCAGCTTGACCAACCCATCATCACACCAGCCAAAACCTACACCGTTTTGCTTGTCTCTAGCATGATCTGCCTCCTTCGCGAGCGATGAGTCCACCCTGCATCGGCTCGTATCTTAGTTGGCGCTTCGTTGATGTTGATCGTTCAGTCCAACCTTTTTTGACGATCTTCCCGGACGTGCGGGGTGTCACATGACATCACTCTAACTGATTATTAAGCGAGATGAAGCTTTGCTTGCTTTTTCTTGGTGACTTTTTGGAATCTTGAAACTTGGGCAGCAGCAGCAGCATCATCATCGACCATCGGGAGTGCATCCAACAGCCCATATCGACTCATTCTTGTTACCCCATACCCATTACTTAGCTGGAATATATTATTTATCAACTTCACGTGAAAACTCCCCACAGGTCTGGCAGGCAGCCTGATGTTGGCTGCTCGACAAGCTACCACCAGTCCGGGCTGATGGCATGCGATCAGAAAGCTGCCAGTCGAGCTGTCGCGAGGATCATTCCAGCTTTTCTAGGTGGGCTTATTGTCTATGGCTGCTATTCTATTACAAAGGCCTTATGCAGTGAGTAACTTCACCCTCTCATTGACAGTTGGGTCTTTACTAACACGTCTACGAAGTTGATTACTTGATTAAGCCGGCGGCTGTGACCGGATTACACCCACGCATCAGCATAGCTATCGGTTTATTAGTTACATTCTACGTCCTGCTCATCTTCTTGGTCACGACATACCTTCGATTGCTTATTACAGTTATATTTTTCCCCGGCTACCTTCCAAGAGGGCCACAATGGTCGGGCTCAAGCAGGCAAAAGAAGAATAAAGGAGGGAAGGGACGCCACCGCCCTGGTAGCATCGATCAGGAGAAGCCAGAAGCTATACCATATGCGACACTGGGTGAGCATAATGCAAATGACGAAAAGAACGTATATCCTTTTGATGCTACTGGCTTGGAGGCATTTTACATGAAAGACATCTTCGTCTGCCAGCTAGACGGCAAGCCACCGTGGTGCTCCACTTGCTGCCAATTCAAAACCGACCGGTCACATCATTGCAGTGAAGTCAACAGATGTGTGAGGAAAATGGATCACTTCTGCCCCTGGTATGACTCCTGTATACCTCTTAAAACTTGAATGATGCTGAAAGTGTCGATACTGACTCGGAATGCAGGGTGGGTGGTGTGGTTAGTGAGACTTCATTCAAGTTTCTCATTCAGTTTCTATTCTACGCTATGCTGTTTGTTACCTTTAATGGGGTTGTAATGGCCGTTTTTGTTGCTGAACATAGAAAGATGGTAAATATATACACCTTTGACTTATACCATGTGGTTTATGGGGACTAATATGGCTCATACTAATACAGTTCGGTACATTAAATATACACTGGCTTATTATTCTGGCAGCGTACGTATTAGAATCCTAGTATCCTCCGCTCGTTGACACTTAACTAACCTGCAATAGATCCGGTTTCTTTGGGCTCTTCTTGGCTGGGATGCTCATAAGCTCCCTCCAGATGGCGCTCCGCAACTGTTCCACAATCGAAAGTCTCGATTGGGGTAGTAAAGTTTGGACTTTGGCTATTTTAATTCCTAGGCCCCTTGATCTCGACAATCTCCCTATAGAAAGTCGCCCGCCATTTCCCGTTGTCTCTTACCCTATATCTGCGTCTCAGCCCGGATCTCCATATACCTCTTGCCGCCAATTTGCCATATTACATACACGTCCTGGCGAAAACCCATTTGACCTTGGGGACCCCTTTGCAAACCTGGGAGAGGTCATGGGTCATTCTGTGCTTGATTGGATTTTACCCCTAAAGCATAGTCCATGTGCCTCCCATAAACGGCAGGACAGTATGTACGCGCTCGGCCCTGTTGTCCAACGGATGAAAAAAGAAGCAGGTTTATTGGAAACTTCCGCTCGTAAGTCTGGCTACCACTCTTACAAGACCAAAAGGAGGCGTAGGGATGGAAGATCCAGCGACTCCGATCCATCATCCTCACGGTCCACCCATAGTCGGTCACGAGACGAAAGAAATAAAACTAACCGAAGACAAACAAAGGATCCTCTTAAGCCTCACCGTCATTCCCGAGGTGGAGACAGATCGGTCCGGGGATAGTTTTCTGTCGAGGGTGCTTGATATATCATATATATAACATCGGTTCAAGTACTATGCACTAGAGAAGCAACGCTCACACTGTAGACTAATTATGTACATTGATACCCCTTCCTTGGATACCCTACCAGACTCTATTTTTTTCGCAATAATTTACCCCTTACTGCTGTTACAGTTGCTGTTATATTAAGCTGAAGAGGCTCCCTCTTTACCCTACTTAGACCTTGTAATACCCCCCCCACCTGCTCTTAGTTAATACAAACATTGTCTTATACCTAATGATCATTACTCGACAGCTATGGCCTTTCACTCAGTTACAATGAAGCGAAGTTGAAGAGCTAAGATTGTCATTTGTCATTAGCTCTCTAGGTCATGTTGGTAATAAAAACTAGTGGTCGGTAAAGACCGTAACAGGCAGGCCCATACAGTAGAATCCCGCCGTAGAAGGAAGGCAAAAGATAAAACCATAGAAATGAAAAGAGGAATCAGAACTAAAAGATAAGGAATACAGGGTATCAGGCGTTAGGCTTAAAAGACATAGACAGGACTTCATAGAAAGCAAGGAAGTAAGCGGTAGGAAGTAATCATCCACATTGAAATATCAACAACAGCGGATCCATCCAGTCATCGTCATGTTTCGTAGGGTCGGTGATGAGGCAGACGTTAACGAGAAAGCGTGTGTCGACGGGTTATAGGATGTTGGTCTAATATAATGCCGCTTGCAGTTCGAGGTAAAAGGTACGATATCGAAGGTGTAGGTCAAGTGCCCACGTTTTAAGGGGGCGTTCTTGGGTGTTCAACAGCGAGACTCATAAGTGTCTAGGGTGATAGGGCAGATATGTGTGTTGTAGTAGCGAGCAGTTGACGGATGTAGTGCGGGATTCCACTGTCTAGACGATCATATGGATGGAGTCTCTGCATGTGTCGCATCGAAGGTGTCCACAACTCGGGCATCTTGACGGGCTGGTGTCATAATCGTTGCTTTCCGAGCACTCGCAGCACGTCCATCGATCAGAGCCGAACATGTAGTTCTTCGGGTCGAGAGTCTTGACCATGGCTTTCGATGCCACAGAAGTTCCACCGAAGACGCCGCGGACTTGGGTTGTGTATGCAAAGCACATCCTGAGGTGACCCTTGCTTGAGTAAAAGAAGTAGAATAGTGTTCTTGAGCACTTGAAAGAGATGTTTCTGGCCTTTTGTCTGGCTTCTTTGAGGCTGTTCAGAGCAGGGTTGTCTTGTCAGAGGTGAGTATGTGTGAGGTGTAGGTTGTTGGATGGAGGAAGAAGCCGACGAAGAGGAGGGGGAAGACGTGCAGTTTAAATAACCAAAACAACAACAACCCATCCTCACTGACTGACTGCCTTCTGAACAGAGAGAAGAAGAAGTAGCAGCAGGAAAGCAGAAACCAGGAGCCCAGAAGGCTGCAGCACGTCTGCCTTCCCTAGTGCATGAGAGAATAATTGCTATAACAAGCCAGAAGTCATGCAGCAGGATGCACCGCCCTCATGTTAGCAAACATGCTGTTCGAGCAGGAGAGGACAGCCAAACCAGACACACACACACACACTCACTCACACATCTGAGCCAGAGAAAGGGAACATCAGAGTGTGAACAATGACCATTGTTCAGGAGACTCTCTGGCCCCCCGGTGGTGGTAAGTTAAGGCCTCTAACCCGTAAAAGTCGGTCAGGGGGAATGTTTTTGAATGACAGGCCGTATACTGACTTATTAAACAGTCCAGATCCCAGTAACATAGTGGAAAGAAACCAATAAAAGCCCTCGATCAGCAAGAAAATGGCTAGATGATCATGGTTCCTGTTTTAGCGGCTTAGGCAGCTAGCATAGAACTTCCACTGCATGAAAGGTGCATATGATGTGCATGGGTGCCTTTGCTAGACAAGGCTTGCGGCATGGATTATGGCAGCTAGCTTGCGTTATGGCCTCGGACACCTGTCAATGTCTAGTCCGGGTGCTGGTTTGCTTTATCTGGCAAAGTGTTTCTCTCGGAGTACTTTGCCAAACGCGGACACTGATGGGTATTTAAAAATCCAAATCTTTTGAGATTTACCATGAAGCTAACATGCAAGTTTCTTCCAGGTACAAGCTCCAGTTCTGTAGCCTCGCTGATACCAATACCCTTTTTTTTTTTTTTTTTTGCGCGATGCCTTGGAAGCGAATTTTCCGGATGTCAGGTCCTAAATAAACGGGGAAAAACCACGCTAGTCAACACTGTCTTTTTTTTTTTTGACGACAAGCCCTGCAGATCCTCGGCCATCATAAGGTCCAGAATCATACCCTAAACATCTCTTCGTCTAGGATATATCGAATACTGCTAGTTTTTGCATTGGCTCTCATCTTCATGGATGTCAAATCCTGCTCGCACAGAAACTGTATCACGTGACACGTTCAAATGCCGGCTGAGTCGATTGCAAAATTTCTTCCTCCTTTGCACAGGTTGTGACGAAAGGACCAGTTGAAAACGGGATATTTCAGTGCTAGCCGTTGGATCAGGACGAAATCCCATGCGCTGCTTACAGCTGCAGTGTCACAGGTTCGCTCTTTATTGTTGGTGGAATAGTGAAGCGGTTCCTTAAAGCAAGGCTAGGGCCATACGAGAACGGATGGCCAGTGGCTGTGCTGTTTCTCCCAGACGGCTAGCACTCAAAATTCAATATTAATCCGTATCAGAAGCGAACATGGGACTGAAGCGGTTAATTGCTGATGTGATGTTCATCAAGAAAAATATCTTGGAAAGCACCAGAGAATGTGCCTTGGTTGAGCAACCCACAAAGGCGCACACAAACACTCACCACCCATGGTTCGCATTAAGGCTTAACCCGCTCCTCGGTCAAGACGCAGGCTGAGTTGCAGGGGGTGGGTATTAGATGGTGGATAGTGGGTTAAGCCTGTTCCACGGTTCGGTGGTGAGTGAGTTTGGCCTTGTGTTGATGGCAGAATGAGCCCTTGAAGGGGCTTCGGTGTCCTGCAGTCTGGGATGCTCGGGGCGGTGCCTTGCCTTGCAGGCGATGGAGAGAGACGCTTTTGCCTCTGCTCCTCTTTGCTTCTGCGGCGGAGCCAAGTTAGCTTAACCAGCTCAAGGGGAGATAGGAAGAAAGGCTTGCATACACACTTCATGCATCTCGGCGGCACAGCATAGCTAGTTAGCTATGGAGCGGAGCGCTACCACCACCTGCAGCCTTGGGGGGGGGGAGTGCCCC